TTGTCTAAAAGGTAGCATTAGGCAAGAAAGGATTTGATGTTCAAGGCAAATTCAACAGCTGGGGAGCATAGAGGCCAGAAAATTTAAAGTAGCAGAAGATGCAACACCATAAATAGTTCAGAAATGGAAGAGCTCAGTACTTTAAGTGGGAAGATGTTGGACCTTCTTAATAAAACTGTCATTACTTTGTCCTCTCTGCTACCAGCTACGGCTTCACAAAAACCTAAATGCAGCCATGACATGAAGACATGCATGCTAATCTGTGTCTGGATAAGGAATGCAACACCACTACCACAGACACTGCTGGGGGACACCCAAAATTATTAGAGCAGTCTACCCATTTATTGTCTCATCTTTAAATATATATCATATCCATCAATAAGGATGTACATATTCAACAGATATAAGCCACAACATGAAAACTAAAACATCTTGAGAGAATGGAATTTTGATTCTTCATTATATTCTATTACACAGACTTATTACATTCAACCCCAATGTACTGAAATATCACGAATAGCTCACAGAAACCTATGGCAGCTTCTGTATCAGTCAGCTGCATGGTTAAAATATCATTATGAACTTTACAATGGTTATCTTCAAAGGCAACGAACAAAATATTTTTCCCCATCCTAAATAAGGTTAAATTCTTTATACTTCGTATCTGTCCGTGTCCACTTGACTCTTTCCCCTATTTAGATTTTTGATATATGTATGATATACATAAATTACCTCTGTTCAACAAGCATTTGGAGAAAGCTTTGATATATGATTTAATTTTTAGGCTGCACTCTGCAGAGTCAGAAACTGGACTTGACGATCCTTGTGGGTCCCTTCCAACTCAGGGGTTTCAATGATTTTTTTGGGAAAAATATATACATATTGTGTAGGAGTAGTCTTGGAAGAGTTCGAACTACCTCATTATTATGGTCTACAGAGAGCTTACAATGAAGTTCTGCATTCAGGGTAATGATGAAATTACTAAATGAAGTAATAGCCAGTGTTTCAAAGCGTCAAGTACTTCATCTTGCATAGAACTAATGGGGAAAGTGGACTAACCATTTTCAACTTTTTCCTAATAATTTTAACTCTGCGAGCTTGTTACTGTACTTCTCTGTAACAAAATCAATGACTATCAACCACTCAGTGAATTCAAGAAATAAAATATAAATATATTTTCAAATTAATATGCATACATCTCATTTTGTAAGCATCTGTCTCAAAACACACTGTTAATCTGAATCCTACCTTATTCTATGATCCCATATCATAGTTATTATTTTTGAACGCACCAACAGGCAGTAGGGTGGCAAAGATGATAGTGCACTAGCTATCAAATTACAAAGAGTTTCCTGTTATCCTATAGTAAAATAAAAATAAAGGCACACACCTACCCACGCTGCTGTCAGTAAATCAGTCTTTCCCTTGGCATTATCTACAGAACAAAGCATAGCTGCTGGCCAATATTCTCAGGATAGCTTGCATACAATCTAGGGTAAGATTGCTTGTGGCAACAATCACACTGTCCATGAGGAAGTCACTGGACTTTTCTCCTGAAGCACAGTTCCACATTTATAATTTCACAGTAAACCATCTAATCAATCCCACTCCAGAAGGCAGCAATAAACTTAAATCATCTCTGAAAATGAACAACATGAAACATCTGCTACAGTTTGAAAAATGACACAGTGGGGGAAGGAAAAAAAAAGTTACTCTGGGAGTCAATCAACCAAAAAGTTCATTTAAATATGGGTTGGGGACAAATGTATGCCTGATAAATATGACACATTTCAAGTACATGCATAATAAATCTATGAAGTCAATCATGTGTCATTGTGTCATTTCACTGGAAACTGCAGAATTAGTTATTAACTACTTCCTCTGAAAAACAAGCAACCAAATTCCACATAGAAATTATTTTGAAGTGAGAGCTTAATTTAAAAAAAATGTAGGTAATTCCTGTGTTCCTACATCACAGAACAGACCTGCCCTGAAGCTGTGAGTTTATGAATACAGCACAGCTCTGTTTCTCAAATAAACAAAAGACAGTTTCAGCAAATTACAGTTAATATATCACACATGAGCATTTCAAATTCCGGTGAATAATAATGTCTAAAGTAGAAACAGCAGCAGTTTAAAATATACCATTTTCTTAATACAAGCTTCCATACACAAATACACCTACTGAAACCAACTCAAATTTAGAAAGCCTAGAAAATACTATACTAACATATGAATTTATAGAAGTTATTAGATCTGCTTGTTTTGACATAAATGAAAAGCTTCAAAAGGGTTGATTAAATAGAGCAAGCAGACAGACTCATGTGCCTGTTCCCACCCCCTTTATTTTTTGCTTACCAGTAACTAGTCCAATATTAGCTACTTTAGGAATTTATAATCCTGTAAAAAACTGTGATCAAAGACCTTAAGAAACATGTGGCTTTACAGCAGTAGAGGGTCTCTGCTACAAGACAGAATGTGAAGTTTCACCTGCACTTGGTTTCTTTTCCTGTTATAGCTGAACCAGCCAAGTTGGTAACATTGACTAAATGTTACCAACTAACTAACTTCACTAACATTGACTAAAACACCCTAATATAGGCTACCAAAAGAGCCAAGAGAAAGGAACTTCAGGTCCAGTACAACTTACTGTTCCATACAGCTAAACAGCTGCTATGAGATGCACTGCCTTTCTAGCAGGTCAGCTAGGATGTGATAAAGTCTTACACACATGAGTTCTCTGTACTTGGATACCACTTTCTTTCCCCAACCCCACCAGATAGATGTATCTGTAAATTGCATGAGGAAACTAGGAAAATTCTGTAATTAAATACTTGCTACTGACAGACTAAAACAAAAAAAAAGAACATGAATTATTTTTTCAAACAGAAGATAAAAGGGATTCATTGAGAGACTAGAGGCAGATTAAAAAAACAACCCAAAAAAAACCTGGAAACTATCAAGTCAGCACACAAGAAAAGAGCCATGAGGTCATCTCCTGACTTTCAAAATATTCGTACTTCTGAAGCAGTTAGAGCACTAAAATAAATATAAATAATAAAAACCCATAACCCAGGAAATTACACCAGAACTGACAGTTCAGCTGATTTCTGGCAGCAGGAAAAAGAAAAAGGAGTAATCTACCCTTGTGCAAAATAGCCTTTTTTCAAGATATATCAAAGCTGATGTATATCAGCTGAGAAGTGTTTGCACTGCAACAACTACTATCGAATTGTCAGCCAGTCAACTAACAATATTTTCTATAACAAGAGATTAAAACCAACACAAAGGAACTTTCCATGGTTAGTACAGCATATGTCTGTTTTGGTTTTAGCACAATATTTGCCGAAAATATTTTTGGATTAATTGGTTGTAGCAGTTGCATACAAAAAAAGGACATACTTAAATATCAATTATTTTACCTTAAAACATATGGGGGAAGCACATGGCCTGGGGCTGTGCATCAACCAGTACCACACAACCTGCTTTTCAGAAGTCTAAAAAAAGATCTACAAGTCTCCTACAAACACAAAAATTCGACTTCCAAACTGCTAACTAAAATTAAAATAATGCAATACTTCTGCAAACTTGGAATCAACCTGAACAGATCTTTTTCAACACTACAGGATTTCTCTGGTCCCCGAGGTCAAAAGAGAGTCATGTTACCGACCCCTCAAAGTAGAAGTTTTTACAACTGAGTGGTAGAGTTGAAAAGTGATGTCCTGTTGTTTTTCTGTAAGTTGTATGTGGTTTAGAGGAAAGGGAGCAACAGTGCAGCTGTGGATGCTGTACTTTGTTACTCCATGCCAGCAACAACAACTTTTTTTGTGCGACCAATATCAGACATTTTAGGCTTAAAACTTTGCTACTGCCAGTGTAAAGAGTTTTGAATTACTTGCACTAGCAGTACGGACCATGTTTATACTTGAATTAGCCTAAAGACCCTTCAACAGTATAGTAACTGCAACAAGGCTTCAAAGAGGATAATGTAGAGCAAAGTAACAGCCAAAACTAGTTCTTGTACTAGAGCACCAAAAATCCCCACTACCTTTTTCCTAGGTCACTTTCTTATAGTAAAGCTAGTACTTCTAAAACCCATGGAAAGAAAGCAATTCTGGCAACATCTCATGCAGCAGTTTTCTCCACCTCAAGGCTACAAGAGCTAAGAGAGACTTTATACCTGCAGTTCATTATTCATGTAATACAACTTTTTCCCCTGTTACAAGAAAATAATTTGTTTGGGACAAGCTAAATTGGAAGTAGGGAAGAGCTTCAAACCCCAGAAGTAAATTTTTAATCAAGACAATTATTGTTACAATTAGCTCCTTAGCTGCAATGTTTGATGCAAGAGCCTATTAATCCACTCCTATTAGGGCAGCCTAAACTGGCCTGACTGCACATTCCTTTTTCTCCAACATCACAGCCCTCAGAATCAGGATGAATCCTCTTACACACATTGCAAGCGTCCATTCAGTGAAGATTAGCATAATATTAAGGCCATCTGAAGTACAGAAATTAACAGCACTGAATGTTTTACTGTGCAGCCATTCAGTTATGCACAAGAGGGAATGACCCAGACAAGACATCTGGCACAAGTTACCATCATTACAATTTTTTCCATGACTTTAAGAACTCTGGTCAACACCTGCATGCCAACGTGAAAGTCACAATGCACTTCCAGGGCCTATTCTTAAATAAAGCCAGTCTGGCAAGACTGAAGAACCAAAATACCAATCTGCTTTGGCACAAAATTAAGCGGGCACATAATACTCCACCTTCCTTATAAAGCTCAACATTTACAAGGCTAAATATCCAGTTAATTTTTTTTTTAATATAAAGGACCTATTTAAAACAATATTACTCTCTCTGTTCATAACCTAGTACGACAGTCAAGAGATAACAGTCTACTGCTTGTTGCTAGCTATTTCCTTTTCCTGTTCTGACTCAAGAGAAGCTGAGAGCATGAATTAAGTCATTCACCACTGTTCCTATTCACCTACCTGATATAGGGATCCCTCCCAGACCTGTGCTGTGTTGTGGTGGGAGATTCAAGTCCAAGAAATTACTATTTGAGGTGGGATTTGCTGTGTGGTTCAAGTGCATGATGCTATTGCGTGGGAAGGCCATCCAAGGATAGCGAGCTGCTTGGCCTGGAAAACTGAAGGAGTTGTAAACTGCTCGATGCTGTTGAAACTGTGGAAACCTCTGTGGCATGACTGGAAAGGTGCTACTGAGAGAGTTGGCATTTGTGGGTGCAGCAGGATGCAGGAATCCAGAACCTGGCCCTTTGGCAGTTGTAGTGTGTGGGGTAGGGTTCTGAAGAGATGTGGGCGAAAGGGAAGGTTGGTCTTGGACTGACAGTTCCTTCTCAATCAGGTCTGCTAAGGCTTTGCGGGTGATGTCAAAGGGATCAAACCCTAAGTCGTCCTCTTGCTGTTTGGAGGAACCAAACCCAAAAGCTGCTTGCCAGTCTGTGGAGGAGGATACTGGTATAGTTTCTGTTGGAGAAGAAAGGAACAGGATTTAGAACAAGAATCAGAAATCATTTTTCCATATAAAAACTTCAGCCTGTGTATCTGACTGCGGTCTTTTATCTTCCATATAATACTACTTTATACATTCCCCAAAGGCACCTTATTCATCAGCTCAGAATGCCATTTTCAGATCAAACTGTCATAGACTTCTACTAAAGGTGAAGTGCTAGAAGTAGTAAATAACATTTTTACTGCACAGCTGCACTGTTCTTTAACTATGGAAAAACCTAATCCAGAAAGTACTTTCAGGAATAGTCCCAAGTAGAAAGAGACCAATGACCACTTGCTTAGAACCTTCTATATCCCATACTACTTAATGGAAGTGTGAATAAGCAACATTTAAATAAGGCTGTTACTCAGTTCAGTATTTTGCTTTTAAGATTAATGCTGTGAAAAAAATGATAAGCAGGATGTTCCCTCTCAAAAGAAATAACCTCAGAGCAGTAGTTTAAAAAAACCCCAAAACCAACAAAGACAAACAAAACCCACAAAAAAATCCTCTACTGCCTACCATTATGAAGAGAAACAAGCCAAATTCTTGAGAAGACACAGTGATAAAATAAGAAAAGGGAACCACATTACAAGATATTGTTAAATATTTTGAGGCACTGCTGCAAAAAAAAGTTATCAGAATCTGTCTTCATTTTCAGTTACTACTTCTTTTCATGACTGTGTTAAGTTTGCTATTCAGGTTCAGTGAATTCTGGTCTATTTTCACATTATTTTTCCTCAAAATTGTGGTCAGGCCACCTGCTAAGTACAGGGTGGCATCGCTCGCAACATTAACTCCCTCTGCTGGTAGGGACCTGGTCTGCTGCTGTTAGAAGGTTCAGTATCCTCTCAGAGAAGAAATCAACACTTCTATTTTCACTCTAAAATCCATGATGATAAAGAGTTGCTAGACCAACAAGAACTTATCCTTTGCATTCTTACTTAAACCACAACCATACACTTTGTATTAACTATGATCTCTACTACCTGGAAATGATCTCTCACTGCTACTTAATCCTAACACAACTGGTGCATCAAGGGCCTTAGCAGAGAGGCATTTTCTTGGTAATAAATATTGTTTACAAACAGAATTATGATATCCAGGAGCAAGATAAACATCAAAAGATGACTAATCACTAAGTAAACCAACTATATAATATTATTTGCATTCAATTTTTACTGATACTGTTTCATTTAGTTTTCTAACAATTCCCTCAGAGTTATCTGTGAGCTCTTCAATACTGTTAACCATTCCCAAGACTATATAATCACAACTAAAACAATGCTTCATGCACATGACAAGGTACTGCATAGGAGAGTACCTGAAAAACACAGGCAACTTTCAGCTGATGAAATTAAACCTAACTTGTCTGAATTTATAGAATCTCCATGTATTTTCCCCCCCTCTCAATAAAAACCTGTAACACTAAATATTAAAGCATACATGTCACACCCTATGCATGTTGCTAAGAAAAACTAAAATAAGCACTCTGATAATTTAGCCATGCAGCTTGAAAGCTCTTCAAAGTTTCTTTAAGAAGAAACCCTTAGGTCACTGCAATTCATCTGCAGTTAAGTGACAAATTTTAACCATTTGTAAGGGGGGAAAACACAGTATGGAACAAGTCCTAGAGTTTTAGGTTCTACAGAGTTTTAAGCTCCGTACAACTCTGCACAAGTTTTAAGCAACTGCAAAAGCAAACAAAACCCAGCCATGTAACCTGTGGATGTACCTGATGTGAAGAGGCTCTGTGGTTCTGGTGCTGTGGGCCAGTCACTCGAAGTCTGTGGAGAGCTGGGGAATGGAGGAAGCCCACTAGGGATGGGGTTAGGGTGCCGGAAGTTGTCAGAGAAGAGTGACTGTGATTCTGTTACAGCCCCTTCAAAAGGAGACCGTGCACTGTGATTAGATGAACTGATGGGTATAACTGGATTGGATTTTGTTAAACCAGGTGGTGGTGAAGGTGTGTCACTGTTTGTTATCTACAAGCAAGAGAGAAAGAGAAAAATTAGGACATGAATTTATATATAAAATATTCTTCACTAACTCAGATGAAAAGTTTCCTCAAAAATCCTGGCCACAATTAGGCTTGTTAATATATAGCTCAGCACAAGGTTAAACAAAAAAAAAAAAATCAACTCTGCAATAGCATTTTTAAATTCTGTTTAAAATTTTCACAGAATAGAGTGGAAAAAGCTCTCTGAAATCATTGAGTCAAACTTATGACTAAACACCACCTTGTCAACTAGATCATGGCACTAAGTGCCACCTGTCTTTTCTTAAACACCTCCAGAGATGGAGACTCCAACACCTCATGGGACAGCCCATTCCAATGCCCAATTATGATCACTTCAGAAAATAATACAACTTGCAGTTGGAGAAGCAAGTAAGTCCTCAAACCCACTTGTTACTTTCAGAGCACTTATCTTTGTGTCTTACCTGCTGAGAGCTGTCACCATTTCCTATACTGAGGGAATCTGAAGGTTTATCGATAGGGCTGCAAAAGTGGGAGGGAAAAAGACAGTAAGAGACTCAACTATTTAACATGAAAAATCAACACTTGCTTTTGAAGGGGAAGAAAAGCCTTAAAATTAAGACAAAATTTAAAAAGTAGGGATTGAGGACTTTTTTATTATTATTTTTTATTTATTATTTATTTTTATAAGACTGCTTTTTTAATCATAAGCATTCTAATAATTTGTCATATACTGTAATACTTCTTTTCACCACTCTCCATTCTGCTTGACTGCCTTAAGGAACAAAAGTAAAGTTTTGAACATGTTCATAGCAGCTCTATGCCATAAAAAAACCCTAGAAGTCTATACTATGACAGTATTTTGTAATAGTCAGTTCCATCTACGATACTACTGTAAAGAAACTGGAAAAGATATATTTTCCAAACACACAAGTTTTCCGTTTCCATACAAATCCTAAATAAATCTGGGAGAGATAAGTCATTAAATTAATGATTTAGTCTTGGTGGCAAGTTAAGCTTCCCACCAGCCTTTAAGATTAAGGTTTGAGATGACAGAAGGGAAAAAAAAACATAGCATAAAAAACTGCCAAGAATAAGGCTAATATAAGATACAGCAGAAAACCACCTCAGAGAGCCATTCACTGTAAATTGTTGTGATTTGGCTGAAATGGCACATCTCAGGATTCAAGATTCTTACGGGCATCTGTGATGCTAAATACCACGCTAATGAAATGGTATTATTGAAGTTCACACTAAAATCTTTGCTTTGCAACTTCAAGGTACTCTCATTTTCATCTACCCACGAGAAAAGATGCACAAGCATCAGGCTCCACAGGCCAATACACTGATTCTACAAACAAGCATCAGGAGAAAGAACATGAATTTCAGTTCCACTAAGAGGCCACAATGGGATACAAGTCAAATTACAGTAATGACATTGAAAAATATATGTAACAATTTCTTTTAACTGGGTGCAGACTTCAGATTCTAGATACACCTTGTTTTCAAACAGCCCTTGGTGCTGCAAACTTTAATTACTGCATACAGCCATAGAGTAAAGTCAACTATTCATAAGATTTCTTCCACTTTAATTTTCCCCCTCACCCCAAAATGACTAAACAAAACCCAGCAGAATTCACCATTCTGAAAGAAACTGTGTAAGAGTAATCAATACCTTTTTTTGTGAAAAAAGAATACTGATTGAGTCAGTATCTCAGATAAATTCAGCTGAAATACTTATGACTATGAAAGAAAAATCACTGTATTACTCCAGTGAACATTTACAAATACTCTCTACTACCCAATAGCATGAATAAAGCTCTTCCATTTGAAACACACTACTTTTTGTTAGTAATTTCTAAATTCCTATAGCACAGAAGTCTGCTGTAGACTCTTCATTACACAATCAATTCTGATTGAAGAGCTGATATTCCAGTCAAATTCTTTTCCTACAGAGCTAACATTCACCATACTGCAGTTCAAAAAGCTATGAGTAAGACAACTTTTACTGACAATCTAAATGATGAAAATGTCTATTATACTTGAACCTGCCTAAGGAGCCTTTATTTGCAAGAGAGACTTCCAGCCCTCAGGAGTAAGGCTCATTATCTATTGACTACAATATTTTTATTTGCATTAAACACATTATTTTCAGGAAAAAAGAGGAATGGCACATCACTACTGAGATGCAATTCACAGGCTCTCTGATCACTCCTCAGTGGACAGCTATTTAGCCTAACAAGAAGGTACCACTTCCAACAGCACTCTCCATTTTAATGCATTGGTTCAATATTGATTTAAAATGAAGATTGGCTACCTAATCAGCAGCACCACTGCTTGAAATATTAGGGTTTACCTTGCTTTTTTCCCATCCAGCCTCTGAATGAGGCTAATGTTTATTACCTAAAGGGGTCCATAAAAACAAACCAGCATAACTACAGACTAAGATTGTAACTGCTAGTGATTCATAAGGTGGAAGAGGACACCAGTTCTACTCAAGAAGGGCATCAAAAAATAAAAAAAATGTTGTCTGGCAATAAGATTATTGTAAACAGATGAATTACTTCCTCTACACAAAGAAGCCTCAGTTTAATCTGCTGCCCTGTTGTCCCTCTGAGTGGTAATTGGGGAGCCCTTTCCTCTGTGTTGTGTTTCTGGAACACATCACTGGAAGGAAGTAAGATATTTTAGCCCTAACATTTAACTTTCCTCTACTGAAGCTTTTCCAAGTCACAAGCCTCCTGATGTACAGCAAATAGTGTGCTACTTTTGTGGAAGCTTCTGTATAGAAGAAAGGACAGGCTCAGCTCTGAATGGGCCTGTGCAGCTGTACAAGCTGTTGATCCCCTGGTTATTCTGCTCCCCTCAGCCACTACCTGTACTGTCACTCACTAATTTCATGTCAGGGTTCTCCTGCAGAGTCTGCCAATCAGTCTTTTTGACATGGGCTACACTAAGCCCAGCTTTTTGTGACCTGATCAGGATTTGTATCCAGCTCTCCAACCAGAGAGACTGAAGAATCACTCCCTCCACACGAATCAGTGAGAGAGAAAGCAAGCTGTCTGAAGTACAAAAGGCAGCACAATTACCCGAAATCTGAGTCTGCACCATCTGGAGTCATGTGTTCTGGGTCTGTGCCATTTTCTAATATAGGAGGCGTTTTCCTGTGTTCCATTGTTAAACCGTTGGCCGATTTACTTGAACTCTGTAATGATGGCCAGGCATCTTTGTTATTACTGTTGGGTCTGGAAAAAGGCAAGAGTAAAATAAAAAAAAAATAGAAGAGTTCAAGTTATGAAGAAAGTGTTTTAAAAATTGTAAACACTGGGGAAATAAATCTTTGTGCCAGACAATCCATAAGAATAGATTTATCTGGATATTATTTCTCCGATTTTAAAAGGTGATGACATAAAAAAATAAGTGGGATAGGGTAGAGAGAAAACCAGAGGGAATTCTGTTTTCTTTCCTGAATAGATAGCTGTTTTGCCAATCCTAAAGTCCAAACTTGCCTGTTTGAGGAAGAGGAAAAAAATGTAAATAAAAATTAAAAATGCCATCAATAGTTCAAGTGTCCAGACATCTGCATTTCTCATTCAGAATTACTTGCTTTAGCCCATAACCTATTTTAAGTTCTGCAAGTCACAAACTAAGTAATACTTTTTTAAATATACATTTTATATTCCAGGTCCTATCAAGCCTTGCCACAAGAGATGAAGTTTTATGTTTTACACCTACAGAGAGGTCTCCAGCTTGACTAACAGACCATGAGACCAGCCACACAAACACTGTTTAAGTTACTGCTCCCTTCATTTCTAGTTTAAAGTCATAATTACTTCCCTTTCATAAAGTAATACTAAATTTCAGAGTGCACATTAGAACTGAAAAAAGTTCAAGAGAGGACTCAAAGCCCAAGTTTTTGCTGTACATAGTTACCTTCTGTACAAATTTAAGAAAAATGAAATATAGTCTATAACCAAACGGATTCAAATACAGCATTGTCTGTCAACCCTGCAATCTTTTTACAGAAGACCTTTTGTGTTCTCAAGTTCTTCCACACTACCTGTAGCTTTTCATTTGCTTCTATGAGGAGCTGGTTTCAGTGTGCAAGTCCTGTCTTCATAAAAAAGCAGCTTTCACCAAAAAAAAAAATTTAACATCTATGTCCTTCCTGATGCTCCCCTACGTCACTATTTTCCTATTAGATGGTCCAACATTTACCCTACATCTTTAGGTCAATTTACTAATTTTGCAGTAAGAATCTGGAAATTTCAGTAACTTCTTATAGCAACACATATGCTTCCTACTTCTACTCAGATAAAATTAGTAATAGTAGCTCCCCTCAAATCTCAGTATTGTAACATCTGCTATTCTGTATCCATCTTTTCTCAACTACATATACAATATGTACATAGATGAGTACCTTGACCTGATCTACAGATCTCATCTTAGCTTTGCTCACATTTGAACTAAGTAAGAGCTAATGAGTTGATCAGATACAGAACACCAGGGAATGAAGAGACAGCAGCAGCATATCTGTCATTTAATAGTCACATGGTACAAAAATGAACTGATATCTAGATTATCAAAATTGCCAATGCATTTATTTTTAAATATCCAAATGTATGTTCACTATTGTGCAAAGCCATTTCTATACTAAAACAAACTTTCAAATGACAGTTGAAGTCAATTTTGCATCCAAGGAAAAAGGGAAAGAGAAACAAATTGGTGTGTGTTTTGAGGTGGGGGGTTTTGTGTGTGGTTTTTGACTTTTTTATATTCATAGCAGCTCTATGCCATATGCTCTCCTTAAAAAGCAGCTTTCACCATTGTTAGGTTTTTTTTTGTTTTTTTTTTTTTTGTTTTTTTTTGTTTTAGTTAAATTCAGGCTGCATGTCTCTGAAGGGCTGTTCTCTAAAACATCAGTATGTGCCTAATAACTGGTTCTTCCTGTAGTATAAGAAAACATTAATTTCAGTTCTTCAGAAAAATGTCATCAAGAAAATAAAAAAAACCTTGATCTGTTTTAAATGTGGAATATATCTCCAATTTTAAGAGAACACAGTCACTGTGACTATCAAGTAACATAGCAGGAGATGAGTACACAGAGAGGCCCTAAGGGATTTTGACAGTTGTCTTCAGCAGGAAGAACAGGTCTGCAAGCAGAACCTTTCAAATTAAAACAATTGTAGAAAAACACTTAGAGTTTAACAAACTCTTTTCTACTGCTGGATATTTATAATTAAAGTTAATTATAAATTAAGTTATTGTCGTGGGGTGACAGCCTTTAT